GATTTAACATGCAAAGCTCTTTTACTATTATCTATCAAACCTTTTACTACATTGGTTATATCTGACCTTCTCCCAACAAGAGGACAAAATAACTAGTTTGTTCAGATCACACAGAGGCTCTAGTCACTCACTGGTCAAAGTATATAAAAAGAATGAAGACATTATCAACACATGGAGGGACATTGGAAACATATCCGCACACTTCCTTCCTGTCTCCACTCCACATGTCAGCATAACATATGCAGTTCAATATGCGCCTATCAGAAATGCACAAACTTTAAAGCTCAATACAGGAGAGACTTGCTAAAAATGCACATAAATAGGACATGTACATAGGAACAAATACATGTATATAACTTTTAGACTGTACCAATCCCAAGGGAGGATGCAGAGGTGTGATTCTGCTTTCCTACTGCATGTTGACTTTCTGTACACTGCTGAATATATGATCAGAACAAGAACTGGATATTGGGAGATACATGTTTAATCAATACATTTTTTAAAAAATCAAGTGTTAAAGCTTACATTGAACCTATGCCCATGCAAACATAATAACACCACTACAGGTTTCCTAGGCCAGCAAGTTACAAGAGAAAGTTTACTAAGATGCAAATTTGGCAAGTTTTTTCTTAAGTTATGCAAATTCCTAATGGCGTGCTCTGGTCCATGAGGTCACGAAGAGTCGGACACGACTAAACAATGGTATTATAGAACCTGATTCATTTCAATAAAATTATTTGGTAAAACGCCTTAGGGATTTTGGCTTGCCAGACTTCTGCCTGGCCTGTTATGAGCTTTTTAGAAGCAGTGTGATCTGCAAACACTGGCTACATTGCTTATCTATATGCAGGACCAACCCACCCATGCATGACACAAGGTAGGCAACTGCCTTAGGAGGAGGCAGGATCCACAGAGGCAGCAGATCCTGATGTACCGTAGATCTTCATTCGCTGCTCCCTTGTTCCTAATGTATATCAACCCCTCTTCCCTCACTGGGAGGGGAGCACCAATTTTGTGGTTCACCTCAGGCACCAAAATGTACTGGGTTGGCCCTGTCACCATGCTTAGAAAAGCTTCACCTTCCAGTCTGTGTCCTGAAATAGTTGGCAGCCCTTCAGTTTGGCTGCCAGACCTTGTTAATCTGTGTCACTCCAACTTCCATGTATTAGACCTGGTCATTTGAGGGTGACTACACTTACCCCATCATGACAAACAAGTTCTTGGGTGGCTTTCTTTTATAACTCTGAAAAACAAACCAGATGAATTTGATTTTAGATTTAAGATGCAGGAGAAAACAAATCAGCATCACTTTCCCCCCCTATGTTTGGTTTATGATAAAGTCTTACACACCAATATTCAGTTAAACCAGTGTTTCCCAACCTTTTTTGGGCAAAGGCACACTTGTTTCATGAAAAAAATCTCGAGGCACACCACCATTACAGCCCCGTGACGTCAGCGTGCAGCGTCACGCCGGGAGGGACGCACGAAAGTGTAAGTTTCAATTTTTCCCCCTCCCCCTTGCCTTCCTTCTGTGCCAACCGCCAAAAAGCCAAGAAAAAAGCCAAGACTTTAGGGCAGCAGGTCGACACGGAAGAAGCTCCTACCTAAGGACAGGTGCGACGGCCGTGTCCTCTTCTGCCACACTTGGCAGCCCTGCCTCACGGTCGTGACTCCCACCCTGATTTCTCCCCGCAGGTCGAGCGGCACAGGCAGCCCAATGTGTCCAGCCCAGACACAAGCCCCGCTTCCCCACTCTAGATCCTGAATGCGACCAAGTGCTCTGGACTCCCGAGCAGGGTGGGAAAGAGGACTCGCATCTGGTAGCAAGCTACAGTACTGGTAGAAACACAAAATACTGTCATCTGCAAAACAGAAGACAACTACAGCATTTGTTCCTATATTCTTTTTTTGGTTTTGGTTCCTCATTAATTTCATCCTTTCTTATATGGAGCTAATAAGGTCTTAAGAGTCTGGTAGGCATTTTTCTTTTACCCAGAACTTTTATTTTATTAAACAAACAATGAAATGTCATACAGAAAATTTCTGACATATCTTTACTGCTTACCCTCCAGTACACCTGAAGATAGCAAAAGTTCAACTGAGGGAAACACAACAAATTGTGGCACACATAGCTCTGATCTCCAACAGAATGGAATGGCCAGGTGGCTCAGGAGGGTCTGCAGAAGGGGGGATACCACTGTTTCCCCACCCCACCCCCCAGCTTCTTTTGCCTCACTCAGCCTAATGATGGGGCTGGTTGGAAATCTGAAGTGTGCTTCACACTGCAACATTTTGTTGCAGGCCCCACTTAGAAGTCAACAAAATCTTAAGTGGAAATCCTCATTAGCTGAAGCCTTTCTCGCCTGCGCTATTTATATGAGTTTTAGCATTCTGTGAGCTGCTGCGGAAATCCAGATTTGAAAGCAAGACTAGAAAGGCTTTGGGAAGAAGCAAACACAACAAACCAGGCCACACACAGATAAGATGCGGGAACGAAGGAAAGCAGCCTCCTCATAGCAGCCTCACGCTGAGCAATGTGGCGGTCTATTTCTCCAGGGTTTGGGGGCCAAGATCTACTATGACCCATTCCCGTCCGTCCGTCCGTCCGTCCCGCCCCCCAAACCCCCTCAAGTTTCTGAGGGATATGCCTGGGATGAAACCTGGGAACTTTCCCAAGGGAAACACGTGCTCTGCTACTCCTCCAGCTGCGGGGCCCTGCCTTGGGAGCCGGATTCCGGCCGACGGAAAGCCCACTAAGTTCAACAGGGCTAAGTTTCTGACGAAAGAAAGGAACCCCAAAAAAGCTTCCTCTCAGGATTGGGGTCTGCACGTCCTTCTTATTTTCAGAAAGTGGCTCGCTTCGGGGGTTTTCTGTGATAAAGCCCAGGACTCATATTTTGAGAATTTTTACCACATAAGAGAAACAAACAACAAGAAGAAGAAGCCCGCCCCGCCACCCACAACCGGTACCTGAAGCTCTTTCTTCTCACTTAAAAACTCCTCGCAGGATGTTGCCTCCGCTCCCGAAAGCTCAGAGCAAGTGATACAGGTGGCTGGACCCGGCGCAGGCTCCACCTCCGGGGCCCAACGAGTGGCCGCACTTAGGTGTCAGTCACGCGAACCCCGCCTCCCTCCTCAAACAGCCGTTTCGAGCGTCGGGCAGCCTCCCTCAACCGCCCCTCTCCCTCCCCGATTCCCGAGTCCCCGCCCCTGGCAAGCTCCAGCCGAGGCAAGCGATTAGCCGCCGAAGCCGACAATCACGTTCACCCTGCGCGGCGATTGGACGACCCCCGGAGGGAGGAGGCGGGCCAGAGTTGTGGAAGGGGGTGAAAGTCGTTGGTGTTTACTAGGCGTGAGGTGAGGGGGGCGGGATTGTTGAGGAGTTTTTATTTATTTATTTTAAAGGACTGCCGGCTGTTCTTCATCCTTCATCTCTCTCTCTCTTTCTCTCTTTCCCCTCCACTTTGGGGCCTGGAGCTTCCCCAGCCTCACAAGCCTCCTCAGCAATGGGGCTGCGGAAGAAGAATAAGAGCCCGCCAGTCCTGAGCCATGAGTTCGTTATCCAGAACCACGCGGACGCCGTGTCCTGCCTGGCCATGGGCCTCCTCTTGGGGCTTATGTTCGAGGTATCAGCGCTGTGTAGGGCCTGGGGGCGAGAGAGGCCGGGAGGAGGGCGGGGGGCGGGTAGGGTGGTCAGCGTAGTAGCGGAGCGCGGGCTTCTCGGCTGAGGCACACCCCTTTCCTCCCCCCTCCCCCTCCTCCGCGCGCGGCCCCGCCCTTTTCCGAAATCTCGGCTCGGGCGCTTCCTTTTCCTTGGCGGTTCTCGCCAGCCCCCTCTACGTGTGCCCGTTCACGTTCTTCCTCTGTGCAAGGGAGGCGACGTGATCCCTGCCGGGGCCGGCTTCGCCTACCGCTCCTTCCTCCCTCCCCCCGCACGGAGTCTTTTGCTCAGATAACTCGTGAAAGCAAGCCAAGCCACACGTTAGAGACCCTCTGTCGGGAGAGGGAGGGGCAGGGTGAGGTGGGATATAAATTCTCGGTGGCCGAACTGATAAGAAGAACAACACCCCACAACTAAACGATTTCTCGGCATAGCAGCGATAGATGTAGGCAATGTAGCGCTAGATAAGGCAAAGTGGGAGGCAAAGCCGCCCCCCGCCCCGACCCTGAAAGTTTTGTCCTGCCTCTACTAATACAGTGGTACCTTGGTTTAAGAACAGCTTAGTTTGTGAACAACTTGAATTAAGAACGCTGCAAACCCGGAAGTAAGTGTTGTTATTTTTTGCCTTGGAATGAGAACATGTTTCGTTTCCTGTTGAGTGTGTTATATTTGTAAATTGAGTCCCCTGCTGCTATGGGAAAGCACGCTTTGGTTTAAGAACGGACTTCCGGAATGGATTAAATTTGTAAACCAAGGTACAGTGGTACCTCGGGTTAAGAACTTAATTCGTTCTGGAGGTCCGTTCTTAACCTGAAACTGTTCTTAACCTGAGATAATCACTTTAGCTAATGGAGCCTCCTGCTGCTGCCACCACGGATTTTTTGTTCTCATCCTGAAGCAAAGTTCTTAACCCGAGGTCCTGTTTCTGGGTTAGTGGAGACTGTAACCTGAAGTGTCTGTAACCCAAAGCACCACTGTATTCGAAATTGGCCCATCCTCCATTTTCAAGGCGTGTGTGTGTGTGTGTGTAATCTGTTTGGCTGCTCTCTGGAGCTGGTCACACAGTGTTGCAAGCCCAGCCATGGCATCTATTTTCAGCACTGAAGCTCAGTTCTACGGTGTACGATAAGAACAGACCTCAGTCAGTATAAGGAATCTCAAGTTTCATTGGTTACTAAACTTTAATGAGAAGTTAGATTTGAAGGTTAGTATTTCTAGACTAGCCCTTTCCAATCTGGTTGTCTCTCTTCCAATCAGCTAGTGCTGATGAGAGTTGTAGTACAAAACATCTGGAGGGGCACCAGTTTGAGGAGGACCAGAACTCAGTACAGTATCTCATTTTCTGTGTTAAGCATTGTTTGTATGTGTACATTTTGAGGCACTGTCATATGTTTATATGAGTTGGCAATCGTGTGGTATGCCAAATGCAGCTATTAGGTGTATATTTGGCATGACACATATTATTGTAGCCTTGATTATAACATATACTTATTGATGCTACATTAGAAAGGGTTATGGAGTGTTAGGGGAGCCATAGTACCTTTGGTAGGGGACATACGCTCCTTCTGTGATAGTTTGTCTGGGCTCAGCTGTCACCTGTGGCTCCTAGAAGCTGTCAGCATGTAAATACACCCCAGAAATGGCTTCAGCGTGCCAGCTAAACCAGGTGTGGGTATCAGATTGGTCTCAAACCCTCAGTAAGTTAGGCTCCAGCACATAGAGCAGATGAGACCAATAGTAGGTTCAACAGTCAGGAAGGCAGTTTCTGCATGTGCTGTAGAGGGAAGTGAGGGGCACATGAGGCTTATCAACCTGGGAAGGTAGGCCATTTGGAAGAAGGAAAACTCTGATCCTAAAGCTCCATTGCCTTGTGGGATTTTGCTGGGAGAACAAAAGGCTAAGGAGTAAGCCCTACACAAATCCGGAGTGGAATTCCTAAGATGGTTGGATGGTGCCTTGTACACCTCCGTCTGGCAACTCCTGCAGCACCAAAATCCTGCAGAGTTTGGTGCACTCCATTGTCTCTCAAAACAGATGGATGCCAACCAACATTAGAAAGCTAATAGGGTGCACACTATTCAGAAGGAATGAGGTGTGTAAAAGTTATGGAAAGCTGTGTTAATGTGGTTGGTTGATTGCTTAAATAATGCTTTTTGCCCCATTTGGTTCAAGCAGCAGGTAAACTAATTGTGATAAAAAGGTGTAAGATGTGTATGTTTGTTCTTTCCACATGGGATACTGTTAATATAAACAACTTAACATGCCTTTTAAGCAGTCAAGTCTCAAGAGTGGCCAAATTTACATAAGCATGTTCATCACTGACTCATAAACCTGCAAAATGGAATTTGGAAAAAGACTCAGAATTACTTTTGCACACCTTAGATTTGATATAAAATGACTGTGTCACAGTTGTGCCCTGTTTTCAAAAAATGCCATCAAACATGATGTTACGTAGAGGTGGGCAGGCAAATCAATGAACAGTAAAGAGAGGGATATGTAGGGTTGAAAAGCCTCCCATGTGCTTTTCAAGAATCCCAGCTCAGTCTGAGGCAGTCTTAACAGCAAAGGATTTAGTAAACAGATCGGGGGAGTAAATAGGGAGAAAGGGGCAATGCTATGATCCTGAACAACATACAAATATGAATGTTGAATGATACAGAGGAAGTTCACAGGGAGCAGCAGGGGAAGGTCAACCAATTGGGGGTTAGGGAAGAGTTGATCAGATCCAGCAACTTCCTCTCCACTACAGTTTTTACTCTAGTCATAAAGACATGTGGATCTAGACATTATTTTAGCCCAGGGATAGGGAACTCTGGTTCTCCACATGAATGTTGAAGACCAGTAACATTTGGAGGGTTTACTCTCACTGCTCTGTTTGCATGTAATCTGGATATTGCACAGCACTGTTATATGACAAAAGAATTGCAATGGCTAAGGTGATGGTCTGAAAATGAAGTGGTGCTTTTTTTTAATCGAAGGCCATTGTAAAAAACGGGAAAGTTACAATAGGGAAATCAGTTTCTACCTTCACTCAGCAAGGTGTTTGAATTGGTCTTAGAGTAAAATACAACCAGAAGATTTGGCATAATTATGCTCATCAATACAACTCAATGTAGTGCTAGTATGAGGAGACTTGTAGCAGATTGTTAACGTAATCAGGCTGCAAACTGCAGTTGTACTCTTAGATCTGCAATGCATTAAGTACAAGTGTATAATAGACTTACGTTTATGACTGGAATTTCAGTTTTTAGAGTTGTGAATATCTTCCAGATGAAACTTGACGTTGGATTTACAGTAGCAATATAAGCATTCTAATTCAGTTTATATACTTTTCTTTATTTCTGCTAATGGTGAAGGTGCAAAGATCCTCAGTGACATTCTAGCTGCAGATATTGCCTTATATTATACATCAGTATACTTGTTCTTTTAACACATCTGATGCCTTAAAATGCATTTCCTTATGGAGTGTATGGTTTCCTCAAACAACCAAGGGCTACATAGTAATAAAGACTTGTTTGCTTAAATATTTGGGCTACAAACTATCAGAGAGTTAGGGAGGTTTTGACTTAATTGGGTAGCACTAAATTCCTTGGTGGACTGTGACCATAAGATGATACTCATTCCTGTAGGTAGAGAGTAGGAGTTGTTTTTTTGAATGTGGAATTGTATTCTGCCTTTAGAGAAAAGCATTTTGTGTTTGTAGTCTCCCTATTTATTTGAGTGGAATGAATATGGCTTTAAAAAGACTAAGAAAAATCCTACCATTGTCATTGGCTGTAAATCATCGCATGTGTCCTGGCATAGAAGGTTCCATTTGCAATATTCAATCCAGGAAAGTTTTAAAAGAAGCCTGTGTTGGTTAGCTGCCTATTGCTGAAGGTAGACCAGGAAAGGATACTGACCTTTGCTTCCATGCTGTTGTGGTCTCTCTTGGGGAAATATTTTCATCCCTGTTTCTTGAACTATCCTCTGAACAACTGTGCCTGCATCATAAAGGAGATTTGGGCCTGAATGTAATGTGCATGCTTCTGTGTATCAAAATAAAAATAAAAATGGCAAGCATGTAAACAATCTATTGATGTGTATTTTGGGGATCCTTTGCCAATTTAACACTTTTCGTCCCTTAACCATGGTTCTGGGGTTGGACTCTCATGTTTCCTAACATTTTAAGCCCTGGTTTTTCCTATAGTTAGCCATTATTATTATTATTATTTATTTTTGTTGATGCCTGCACGTGTTAAGCATGGCTAATGCTAAGCTGGCTTTGTTCATAACAAGAACTTAGGAGCCAACGTCAAAACTTAGCTTTGGGTCCTCCTCATGATCAAACCCAGCTTAGTGTGTTAACCACGTTTTATATCAGTTGTAGACATACTGACTAACTGTGAATAAAACTCACGGGAGTGAGGATTTGCACATCAGAGAGCACAATCTTGTGACTCTGATCTCTTAAGGGACTGTCAGTGTTACATAAGTGTCAGCCCTTGGTATGGCCCAATTTTGAACTTGGTGATACAATCCTAGACCAGTGAATGTTTACCATCCCTGATGCATATAAATATAATAAGACTGAAAGCCAGAAAGTTGTGTGTTAAAACAAAGGATAAAAACTTTACGGTAGCAGCTTTTAGGAAACATGTAAGTGATGTAAGTGCTTGCTAATTTGCCTTCTGTTTTAAATTTTAGGTTACAGCCAAATATGCCATTATGTTTATTACTGTTCAGTACAATGTTACATACACCACAGGTAAGAGTAAAACAAAATCATCTGCATGGCTGGCCATTGATTTAAACAATAAAACACTGAGAAGTCTCATGCCAATTATTTACAGTGCAATCCTGTGCATGCTTACTCAGAAGTAAGTTCTGCTGAGTTCAGTGGGTCTTACTCCTTAGTTTGAATAGGATTGCAGCCTTCATTTATAATCTTTCTGAGTCTGCAGTACAGCCTGATCCTATGCATGTATATGTCTTTGTGGCTGTAAAACATTAACAAGTTCACTGACTTAAAAATGCAAGAGAGAAGACTTTATTTTAAATTCCTTTAATCCTAGATAGCACATACTCCTTAGTCTTGAATTGTTATCCAGTTATTTCCTGAAGAATTCATCATAGAAATCTAAGACGTTAGAAATTAGCCAGACACCGGGCACGTTTTGCAACTGGTGCGGGTCCAATTGTGACCACATGGAGATCTCTGGATGTCAGGTTAGCAACTGACATCTCCATCTGGCTGGCCCCTCCAGCTTTCTTAACAGGTAAACAGAAGAGCTTATTTACTGCATTTATATCCCACCTTTTTCTCCAAGGAGTACATGGTTAATTCAACCCCCTCCTCAATATCCTGCATTGACCCTTTTAGGTAGGTTAAGAGACTGTGACTGGCCCAATGTCACCTAGTGAGCTTCCTGACTAAGTGGTGATTTGAACCCTAATCTCCCAGGTCCTAGTCTGACACTAACCACTATATCATACTGACTTCCTAGAGTACTTCTGCTAAGGGGAAGCTATGTAATTTACATAGGGAAATAAAAAGGAGGAAAGTAAAATGTCACTTATAGAAGGATCTGAAATACTTTCCTTGAAGCTTGAATTTGTTTTATTCTGGATTGTTTGATGTTTTAATGTGTTGTAAATCAATTTGAGATTTTTTCTTTCAAATATAAAGCGGTATAGAACTGAAAAGAATAATAAAATGAAGGATAAACAATAAGCACCACTGGGGGAAATGGTGCCTAGATATTGTTGTTGTGACCACAACCTAGGCTAAAAGTGCCATTTGGAGATTGGCTTATGAGTTTCTAAAACTGATCTAAGATAAGCAACATTGATGAAAACCATTTTTGTGTTCTTTTATTGCCTAATGATTTTCCAAGTGCACTCTATACAGTTGGATACTGTTGTAATAATAAGATGTTATGCATTTCAGATGAGAGGCCTGAGCCGGTACATTTCTATGAGTATGGTCCAAAAGACGTGGCCACCATCTTTTTCTACATGCTTATAGCCATTATTCTTCATGCAGTGATTCAGGAATACATACTAGATGTAAGTTGACCATTATTAGATGGGTGTACATATTTTGGATTTGATAAGTTCTTAGCTCTTAAGATGGCTTTCTTAAGTACATCTAGTACTTGTCATGAAGTACTTGATATTTGGTGCCAGAAATCAACAAACTGTTCATTCAGTGAGTCACTGCAAGGCTTGCTAGAGCAGGGGTTGGGGATCTGTGGCCCGTCAGAATCTGACTCCTATAAGCCCTCGCCAGCATGGCCAAGGATGAGGGGAGTCCATCGACACCTGGAAGCACACAGCTTCTCTGTCTCTATGTTAGAGACTTCTCTTACTGTCCTCTCATTGCTGAGCCAGAAAATTTATTCTCTGTCAGTCAAGAAGTGATACTAGTACCAGTAACCATATTGTATGCATGCTTGGCCACCATTCCAGTTGAACTTGCCTATTACCCTTGTTAGCTATACAGTATGTCATAAGCTGTACATCTTGGGCTCTGCACTGTGTGAGGTTCAGTAGCCAGTATGGGGCACAGCATGTTACATTTTTACAAACACTTGAGTATTAGGGCTACTCTGATAGGGTAGAATTGCTGTGGATGATAGTCATATTGCTGACGTGGCTAATAAGGCTAAAAGTCCAATTTATAGCCTTATTGCATTGGAATACAAATAGAGAAGATAAGATAAGCTGATATTGTGCTGATATTAGATTATCCAGATAGCGTAATCAGTACAGAAAAACACCCACTTCCTAACTCATGTAAACTCTTGCTCATGTTTTTGTTTTTTAATTTCTAGAAAATTAATAGACGTCTCCACTTGTCAAAAACAAAGCATAGCAAATTCAACGAATCAGGGCAACTAGCAGTTTTCTACTTGTTTTCATTTGTCTGGGGAGCCAGTATTTTGTCTGCAGTAAGTAAGTCAAGTTATCTTTCTAGAATTTCTTCGACATACATGTTAGCACAAAATATATGATCACTTCTTTTACCTGTTTATTTCTCCCCATTAGGAAGAATTCACTACCAATCCAACTTTGTTGTGGAAAGATTACCCTCATTCTCGAATGTTGTAAGTGTTGTTCTTGTGTTCCTTCATCTGATTTTAGTGGATCTTGCTTTACTTGTTCAATTAACTTTCTGATGTTCTTCAGGTTGAATACATCTCTGCAGTGTCTAATCTCCAATCATAGTTTTATACATTTGTGTTGTCACGTCCCCCTCAGTTGCATTTCTCTCTCTCCAGAAGCTAATATATATGAAAAAAATTTAACCTTTCTTTTGTAAGAAATTGTAACAGTCGCTGGTCTACTTTAGTTGCATCTCTTGTGACTCTGTTATGTTCTCTTGAATTGGGGGACAGGGGATAAGACTAACCCTCTTCAACCATTCATTTTGAATGAATGAAGAGGGCAGTAGGTATACAAGTCCCATCTGCAATGTCCCCTTCCCTATAATACACTTAAAATTTTCCCTTACACAATCTGTCATGCATTCTTTTGAATATCTGAATATTCATCCTAGATTTATATAATAGTTTACAATATTTGCTGATATATTTACCAGTATTTGAAATTATGTTTGACTTTGCAAATAGAATCCATTTGCAGTCAACCAATATCTTTCCTAATGCAAGCAGTTTAGACTCCATTATGTATGTAGGATTGTACATTAGTTTTCATTTAGGCTGAATTTAGTCTGCTGTTCCATTGTCCAGTCAACTGTGAAGCTCTTCAGAGGGGCTTGGGATTTTACTGCCCTTCCTATTTCATTGTCTGTTTCACACCCATATCTTGATAGTTTATTTTTAAAAACCAAGTACAAATGTAGATCCAAGTGGGATCTACTGCCAGTGTAGTGACAGCTATTTTTGGTTGCCAACACCCTGTCCCCAATTCCTTGTCCATAAGAGGAGGGATCTTCTTATCCAATGGTTGCTATGCTTTTTCAGGAACATTTGAAAGACTATGCCAATTAAGTGCTGCCTGCATATTGAGATTGCATTTGTCAGACTACAGTATGTGGTAGAGTGCCCTTGCTATCTTTCACTTGTTTACATAATATTTAAACATTCATTAAAATAAAATATTAGGGAGTATTTCTATGAATGTTGAGTGTTGCAGATTAATTTAATCAAGAAAGTCAAATTGTATGAGCAAGGTCTACATTCTTGACTGACTTTGCTAACAAAGCCAAAAAATACAATTGCAAGATTTCTCTCCCCTTCTGCCTTCGGGGCAAGTGCCTTTCCCCTACAGCAAAGGAGCATTCCAGCTTCAGCTGATGCTTGGTTATAGGAATTAAAACCCCTTTGCTCAGCAATAGCTGAAAAAGCTTCCCTCTCCCCACATATTTCTCTTTTGGAGAGTATATCAGCTTCAGCTGATACTGGGTAGTGGCAGGCAAAAAACTCCCATGGAACTGGTAAGGGTGATGTCATGGACTGGCTGGATGCACAGGAATGGTGGGAATGCTAGGAAGAGAAGGTGTTGGAAGCTGAAGCTGAAGAGGTAACATGGCTTAGTGAGCTAGGAGAGTCTGTGGTAGAGGGAAGTCCAGAAGAGGCAGAAGCTGAAGCAGGGGAGGAGGGAGGTGAAGAGGCAGAGATGAGCCAGGCTGGTGAAGAGTCACAGGTGTCTCCCTCTCCTGCTCTGTTCCCCCCTGGTCTCCCAGAACCAGATGAAGCATGAAAGGGGCCAAGGGAGGCTGAGACTTTCAGTCTCAGCAACTGATCCATGGGGCAAGATTTACCTGGGATGAGCTGCTGTACTCATTAGGCCTGACACTCTGCCAAGTCTGTACAGATTGTGTTATTGCTAATAAAGAGTTAACTCCAACTTGCATGGTGTGCTTTACTGCCAGCTCACTCATGCCACGTTGTCCCAGGCAATCCCTGTCCTGCATTCCTCCCAGCATGAGAACTGGAAGGTTATTGAAACTGTTTGGATTATCCCCCATCCCTCCCCCCATAACATGAAAGTTAGGAAGAAGGCACATTGTTCACTAGATAGCAGAGTCAAAATTGGCCTGGTGAGTGTAATGGTTGAATGAGTTAGGTTAACACTGTTTTTGAATTTTTAATTATTTTGTGTGTGTGTGTGTGTTTAGTTTTCAGGTTAAATTCTTCTATATCTGCCAAATTGCCTATTGGCTTCATTCACTGCCAGAACTGTACTTCCAAAAGATTCGAAAGGTATGAGTTGCAATTTCACCATTTTTTATTGTTAATATTATACCATATAAAAACTTTAGGCCAAAAAACAGCAAACTAGATCTTGGGTACAAAGAGAATGGTGGGTGTTCCAAATAAGGAGAAGTTTGAATGAAATGGGGAAAACTTAATGTTGCTGCCCTCCCTTTCCAGAACCCAAGAAAATAGCACTAGAAGACACTGTGAAGACAAAATGACGCAGTTAATGCCTGCAACTCATTCTGCATTTCTTAATTTAAGTATGAAGAACAATGAAAGATCACACAGCTTGCGCAGAGTTGTTTCTTTTGTCTTTTTAAAGTGTAACATGTCTCCTTTTCCTCTTTCATATAATTCTAGGAAGATATTCCTAGACAGTTGTACTACATCTGTCTTTATATTGTTCACATATCCGGTGCCTACATTTTGAAGTAAGTACAGGCGTCCCCCCACTTACGCGGGGGTTACGTTCCGGGGCCCCGCGTGCATAATTGAAATCGGGTAAAGTGGGGAGCACCCCACTTTAATAGAAAGGGAGGGACAGAGAGAGAGAGAGGGTGAAGTGACTCCAGAGTAAGGAAGCTTGGAAGTTGGCACTCTCTCCCATGGAGAGGCAGTAGTGAGGTGGACTGGGTGAGCATTAGGGGAACAAGGCTGGGCTAGGCAAGTTGGCTTCCTCCCCTCCTCCCGCTGCCCAATCCAAAATGCAAGCAAGGTCTGGAAGAGAAAAAGCAGGCCCCTCATTCCCCAGTGGAGGGGGGGGGTTGGGGCACTCAGTATGTGCAGGCTCCATCCCAAGACTGCTGAGCCACCCCGGCTGTGGCATCTGGCTGCAAACCAGGCAAAGGGATGAGGAGGGCAGCTGAGAGCAGCTGCCACTGGGCATGTTGTCTTCCCACCACCTGTACTGCCTCCATGTTCCAGTGCTGCTGTGCTGCAGCCCAGACAGGGAGGCAGGTGGACAGTCCCAGGAGGCTGAGTGTTTGTGTTGGCCCAGCCAAAAGGCAGGCAAGCAAGCAGTCAGGTGAGCAAACAAGCAGGCGATCAGCTCCCTGCACGCTGGGAGGACTCTATGCGGTCTGCTCCCCTTCAGCTGCTTCAAGGGTTCAAATTTGCTGTGGCCTTTCCCTTGTTCGGGTAGTAGCCCCGAGTAAGGGAAAGCCCGCTTTATTTAGCAGTGACCCATGTAAAAACAGTTGTGCTCGAGTGGGGTGCGCTTAAGTGGGGGGGTGCCTGTATCTATAAACTTTGTATTTTATAGCATGCAAAGTAAATGTTCAGTAAATGTGTCTAAACCCTACTACCTATATGTTGTATAAGGATAATGACACAATTGGGAAACAATGGTTAGATAATTTGATCTTAGCTGAGCTGGGATTTGAAAACAGATTTTTCTGTAGCAAAACAAACCGTACTGTAACTAGACCATGCATTGGCCTAGTAATTACTGATATCTTGAACTGTGTTAATATATTGAGGAAGATATTTGTTTTTAATATTTCAGTCTGCATCGCTTGGGCTTAATTTTGCTGGTTCCGCATTACCTTGTGGAACTTATTTTTCATGCCTCACGCCTTTTCTACTTCAGCGATGAGAATAAGCAAAAAGGGTAATTTCTATTTATTATTACTGTTACTATTATGAAATTAACTTTTAATTTTCTCCCTCTACCCCTTTCTTTTACCCGTCACCCTCTTTTGTTACCAACATAATAGCATTTGGTTTGGGACCAGGTTATTTCACTAGTTGTGTGCATCTATTTGGGCCTCCTGGGTCTTAAGAGCAGCCTTGGAGGCCCTGTTCTCTAGTTTGCCACTGGGAAGAGCAGGTTGGTAGTTACTAGGTGAAGGCCTTTTTCAGTGGTAGTCCCGTATCTATAGAATTTCTTCCTCCAAGATTCAAAGGAATCTCAGGGCTTATCTGTTCCTCTTCTTCCCATCTTATACAATGAGCTGTCTTTTGCAGCTTTAAAATATTGCATGTGTACAGCAGGGTTGCCCTGTGCCACATGGTGCAAGTTTTTGAAACTTTTATTGCAGAAGTAATATGATGTGGAAAGCGCCACTCAGTGGAAAACACTGCTATACAGCAGATTCCTTGAGAATAATTCAATGTCATGTTATGTTGATTGTTCCATCAACTCAAGTTTTTCAGCTTGCCAGATGGAACAATCCCCCTCTTCCATCCTCCTGTGCTGTTCTAGGTTTCTCTAGTCTTACCCCTAGATTCAATTTGCTGGAGTGCATGGAGGATGGAGGAAAGCCCCATTGCACAAGTGGAAGTCCTTGCGGGGGCTTCCGATGATGGGATTTGTTAGGTGCCCTTTCTAAGCAGCTATTTGGGATAATTATCAGTACAATTATCAGTACAATTATGCAGGGACACGGGTGGCGCTGTGGGTAAAACCTCAGTGCCTAGGACTTGCCGATCGTATGGTCGGTGGTTCGAATCCCCGCGGCGGGGTGAGCTCCCGTCGTTCGGTCCCAGCTCCTGCCCACCTAGTAGTTCGAAAGCACTCTTAAGTGCAAGTAGATAAATTGGGACTGCTTTATAGCGGGAAGGTAAATGGCATTTCCGTGTGCTGCGCTGGTGCTGGCTTGCCAGCTGCAGCTTCGTCACGCTGGCCATGTGACCCGGAAGTGTCTTCGGACGGCGCCAGCTCACAGCCTCTAGAGCAAAATGAGCACGCAACCCTAGAGTCGGACACGACTGGCACGTACGGGCAGGGGTACCTTTACCTTTACCTATCAGTACAATATTCAGGAAACTTAAAATCTGGTAATTTGTATTTGAGACCTGTCAGGAGTAAGCATGGGCCAATGGTATCAAATAGTATGGGAAACAGCCTTATTAGAAAAACTAACCAATAAACTGAAACTGACATGGGGACAAAAACAATTAGGAAGAAAAAAGGGGAGGGGGGAAAGGGGAGGGGGTGGGGTCAGGTGGTTATGCTTCTATTCTTCTACTTAGTGGCAGGGGGTTTGTGTCAGCGTTACTTGTATGGGTTTTCTTAATATTCACTAGTTGTATTTCTTTGGTGGTGAAAGTGGTTGGGGTGGCTTAGGGTGTGGTTGGTTGTCTTTGGTTGGCTGTAGTGAGAATTGGGGGGGGGGAGTGTGTATTTTTTGAATCAGGTTAGCCAGATTGATTCGTATGCTGTCGGTGGATTCTTGTCATTGTTTTGTTGTGCTGTGTATGTGATAAAGGGGAACCATACCATGGTGAGTGCATATTCTATAAACCAATTCATAAACCAAGAACTTGTACATTGACCACTAATAATGAAACACACGTTTTGAATATTTTCCCACATTTATTATGCTATTTTTGTGATATACAAATGACGTGAGAAGACTTGGTACTGTATTTTATAAGACCCAGTTTTTTAAAAAATCTGGTAATTTAGGGCGTTCATGAAGCAACTGATTTGGGGGGAAATACTTACTATGAATTTCTTTTCAGATTTACCCTCTGGGCTCTACTGTTCATATTGGCTCGCCTTCTGACTCTAACTTTGTCAGTTCTCACATTTGGATTTGGTCTGGCAAGAGCAGAAAATCCTGGCTTTTCCATAGCAGAAGGAAACTTCAACATACTAACTCTTAGGTATAGTGAATTTAACAAATGGCAAAGAACTAGCTATTCTTGCGGGAAAATGTACTGTTGGTTTTTTATTATTGCACCTTTAAAAATTACATTTATTAAGTTGATTGGTAATTTGTGTGAGATATCTGAAATCTATCTTAATTGATCAAGCGGGACCTTGCACGAAAATGTTGCAATCTTGAGTTCTTCTGTTCAGGATTTCATCCACTCCATTCTTTTTCTGTTCTTTCCCTCCCCAGTAGATAGCCAGCATTCAATGCCCACTAAGTATGCTCAGCCCCCCCCTTTATTTTTGGTCCCCTTCCTGGGTTCAGGGTGGGAAGGATAAACACAACAGTACTCAGTGCCAGCTATGGTAAATTATGGAATATGCCCTTTGATTTATAGGCAGCTGTTGCTTCTGTCCCAGAACATTGGGAATATTCTCTTTATTTGGAGTTTGCTGGTAGCTTCTTGTGCAAGCGCAGAAAGATATAAATCAGAAGTACATGGAATAGTGTTAGATAGCTCAAATAGCAAAACTATATATGAATTTCTGTTTTGAAATAAATAAGTTCCAGCCATTTCAGCATTCTGTCTCCAGCAGTGACCAGCCTGGGGTCTCTGACAAGTTCATCCTCTGCTTGAACTTGTATTTGGAAACAGGAGGGATATTGCTCCATATTTGTTAGGTCTATTAATAGTTATTAGCCATATCACTCAGAAACATCAGGTTGCTTCTAAAAGCACAGGAAAGTGACATCCCTCTTAACAAAGGTGCGGTTGCATGTCTTGAGTAATTTTTATTTCTTCAGTACTCCATAAATGTAGATCATTTCAAACATGCTTGCCTCCAACATAACTTGAGCCAATTTAATGCGTTATTTCTAAACTTTTCATATTTATTGTTCAGTGCTTGTAGTTGTATTAATTTCCATATAACATTTTTCAACTTACTAGAATTAGCTGTCTGGCTGCAATCTGTTTGACCCAAGCTTGGATGATGTGGAAATTCATTAATTTCCAATTAAAGAAATGGAGGGAGCATATTCAGAATCAAATTCCTAAGAAAACAACAAACATAAAGGTTAAACCAACAAGGAAAGAATCATCCAAAGGTAGGTATATTCCTCCTACTGATATACTGCTATCAGTCACAAAATGTAACTGCCACATTGGCATGTTGTTCTAAACCATGGTTTACTGTGATAAACATGAACTGGAGTGAGTGTCTGGCTCATGTGCTTCCCCTCACCCTTTCCTGGTAGAACATTTGACTTCATTTACTTTTCCAGTTTGGCAGTGTTTTACATCATGTCCCTTAATCTCAATTTGTTGTGGGAAAGTCCACTATCAAGGTTTAACTCAAGCATGGTTGGTTTAGACAAGCTTCATAACTCTTGGTTCAAAGTTGGCTTGTTTTGAAACTAAGGTGGGGGGAGAGCTTGGGCTCATTCAGCTCATGCACATTGCAGTAAACATATGATCCAATTATTATTATTAAATTTATATCCCACCCTGCCTCCTGAAGGAGTGACCTCTTCCCAAATTCGGTGGCTTATTTTACTTCTGAAAAGTGCACAGTGCCACTGTTCAAAGTTATGGGAGAGGCTTGGGAAACAGGAGTCTTCCTCCTCTCTTATAGCTCCTAACAAAGACACTGTACCAGAGGAAGAAGTGGGACTTTTCAGAAGTAAGATCTTTGAAACTCTTTCATTTTCCCCATCTTTTTGCCCCAGCGCTTTAATGGAGTGGAATCTCCTTCTCTCCTCTGCTGAGTGCCTGTGTGATTATCTGGTAAACATAAGTGTGCTATCTGTATGGTCTGTTTAAGTGTGTCTTTGCCATGCCCACTACTGACATGAAGGCTTCAATCCTCATTGAAGCCCTCAGGCTGAAAAAGGTTGGCCACACCTGCACTAAACCATTGCTTAACAGCTAATGTTTAGCATGATTTGTATATGTAGCAATTGATGGCTGAATGTGCAATATTATAGTGGCAGCTTCCAGTGAAAAGCATGTTACTTGCTTGGTTTCTTAGCACTGGAGTTGGTGTTGTGTTATAGAATGTAATTTGCTCAGTCCATTCATCTTGCTGTAGAGACAGAGTATACCTTGTTGGTTAAGTCTAAAGCAAACTTCATCTAGGGCTGCAGCGTGGTGTATGCTTAACATGTTAAGTGGACTGAATGAAGCTTATTTCTGAGTATACTGATTTGTATTGGATTGCACTATTAGTTGTTTTTAAATCCCTGATTTACCGTATTTTTCGCCCTATAGGATGCACTTTTTCCCCTCCAAAAATGAAGGGGAAATGTGTGTGCGTCCTATGGGGCGAATGCAGGCTTTCGCTGAAGCCTGGAGAGCGAGAGGGGTCGGTCTCGCTCTCCAGGCTTCAGGAAGCTATCCGCAAGCCTTGCAAGCCCGGCGGGAGGTCCCGCGAGCTTGCAAGGCTTGCGGGCAGCAGCCTGCAGCCCTCAAGCTCGGGGAATAGCGGGGAGGCGGAGCGCTGCCACCCCGCTATTCCCAGACCTGATCTGGAGGCTGGCCGGGGGGAGAGGCAAGCTTGCTTCTCTCCCCCCCCCGCCAGCCCCACAAGCTCGGGGGATAGCGGGGAGGCGGAGCGCCGCCACCCCGCTATTCCCCGACCTGGTCTGGAGGCTGATGGGGGGGGGGGAGAAGCAAGCTTGCTCCCCCCCCGCCAGCCCCACAAGCTTGGGGGATAGCGGGGAGGCAGAGCACCGCCACCCCGCTATTCCCGGACCTGGTCTGGAGGCTGGGGGGGCCCACAAGCTCGCCATCGCCAGCCCCACAAGCTCGGGGGACAGCGGGGCAAGCCGCTGCCCACGGAGGCTAGAGAGGCTGTCCCTGAAGGCAGAAGAGGGAGACGGAGCGCTCCGTCTCCCTCTTCTAGCTTGGGGATGGCTGCGCAAACCTGGGGGGGAAATAAAAAAAATTTCCTTGATTTCCCCCCCAAAAAACCTAGGTGCGTCCTATGGGCCGGTGCATCCTGTAGGGCGAAAAATACGGTAACTCAGGTTGTGTACCTTTGATGATGAAAGTATCTGATCCAGTGGAGTCCTCTTGTGAGCAGAAAAGGGATTCACACGCTCTTTGGCGGTTCTCCTCCTCCCTCCTGCTGCCCTGGGTGCTGCCTCCCAACTATCAGAATGTTTCGGAGCAAATAGTGGGGGAACAGGGGAACTGTATGGGGAAATAGGAATATGCACCTACCTTTCTTCCAAATTTATCCTTGAGTTGGAGATGGGGAGTCTAGCAGTTTGGTAAGGTGAAGCTTGGGATATTTGCTGGAAAAATGGTTCTTCAAAGGACTATCCCATGACATGTTCAGAGGGGAGAATTTTCAATAAGTTGCAGAGGTGGGTAGCAGAAGGAAGTGACAAAGGAACTGAGATTATTTATGACATATGTAATAGAAGGTACCCAGTATAAAACTTGGATGTTTAAGTAATAATCCAAGTCTAATCCTGACAATTTAGGAGATTACAATATTGTGTTTATACAAATGGGTGTTGCATTAATCTTCTCTTTTTATTGCAGCTAACTTTGTCAATGGAGCAGTAAAATTTGAAGAGGGTACATCACCTAGAAAAAGAAAATCAAAAATGTTATGAGGAGCATAGAACCAGAAAGCAACCTTTTAATTGAAGACTTTGGTGATTAATGAAAATGTTCCATTACCAGAGTTGTGTTCACTAAAGGACTCTGGCTGAAATAATATATTTTTAAAATTCATCAAAACAAAGTTATGGTGAGAACACTGTGCTTCAACATGAGTTTTAGCTTATTTAACCTAGATGCTCAATCTCCACTATTAATTTCAGTCTTTGAAAAATTATTTGTCTTACTCTTGAATGTAAGTACAAATCCTTCAATGCTATGGAAGGCTTATAAATCAGACATTGCTTTTATTTGAAGCTTTAAAATATAATTAATATTTCATTTAAGTATAAAGCTTTTAGAAACTTTAATTTCTGGACTTGGGCAGGAAGTTGTGTTAGGGTTTTTTCATTTTGTTTTTTAAGAAAATGTTTTGCACATTATTCTCAATCTGTCCGAAATGTCTATTCAGAAGTAATTCCAGATGGTTTTCCTATTTTAAAAGTTCATAATTTGGATAACTATGGTTAAACACAGTGTTTAAGGAAAGAGAATAAAATCAATTAATATCTTCATCTTGGAAAACTGCTAGTTCATTTGAGGCCACACTGTGTATTTGAAAATGACTGTGAAGGCAGTCTATTAAGGCAGATTTTGCTGAATTGGTCTCCTGAATTACCTAATATGAAACCCCACATAGCTGGCTTTAGGTAAAGGTAAAGGTACCCCTGCCCGTTCGGGCCAGTCGTGTCCGACTCTAGGGTTGTGCGCCCATCTCACTTAAGAGGCCGGGGGCCAGTGCTGTCCGGAGACACTTCCGGGTCACGTGGCCAGCGTGACGAAGCTGCTCTGGCGAGCCAGCATCAGCGCAGCACACGGAAACGCCGTTTACCTTCCCGCTAGAAAGCGCTACTTGCACTTTGACATGCTTTCGAACTGCTAGGTGGGCAGGAGCTAGGACCGCAGACGGGAGCTCACCCCGCCGCGGGGATTCGAACCGCCGACCATGCGATCGGCAAGCCCTAGGTGCTGAGGATTTACCCACAGCGCCACCCACGTCCATATAGCTGGCTTTATTTATATATAAATACACATGGCTTCTTGAAGTCCTGAAAAGTTTCAAAACTAAATCTTATTCACATGGTGCTTAAGTTTGATTTATGCTGGTTTAGATACCATTAACTGTTTCATGAATCTAAAAATGAATGCTTAACGAGCAGAGCCGCATATCATTTCAGATTTAAGTCACATTTCTTGTATTATGTAGTATAACAAACAACCAATATTTTTTTCTTATTTCAAAACAAGCTGAACCTGGCTCTTCAGTGTCATAAACAGACACTTCATCAGTGGTTAGTATAACAGATGTGCATAATCACTAAATAGCACAGCTGTGTGATAAAATATCCAATTATAATTAAGGTTTAGAAAAAATGGTTAACCTTTCAAGAGAAGCATTGTAAAACCCAAAGAGCTTACTAGACTCTTGCAGCTGGCTTCCAGAAGTCCAGTGTTATTTCTTTTACTTTGACCAAGCTGAATTTTATGTCATCATGCAGGTTTTTAAACTCCTTACTGATTGAAGTATGTTTGTCATGCAGCATGGAGGGCATTTGCAGCTTGAGTAAAAATAATTTTGAAGCCCCACTGGGTTCATTGAACTGCTTACAGGGCACTGTTTTCAGGCCTTCCATTTAGAAACTTCTTCCCTTTCCTAGGCTGTCTTCTAGAGAAGTAGGAAGTGAAATATTTTCTGTAAATGAGACAAATGGAAACATAGACTGCAATCCTGAAAGCACATTCTAAGCTCCGTACTTTAGAGTGAGCAAGTAAGCAGTAAGAGCCTCTGCCCTTTATATGTGCTGTTGGTTGTGCTATATAGGAATTTTGTGAAATCTATATAATTATATTAATATTTAATTGTGGTTTTTCCTACTATTCATTTGGATTCTGTAAAAGCATTAACACAATTTGCTTAAATGGTCCAAGCTGATTAAAGTCTGTAAGACACTATAAAAATTTGATCCATATACTATTGAAAGTCTTGGTGATTACAAACATAATTTGTATTTGGTAGCCCCATACCAACCACCAGACATTGCCATAAGCACAATCTTTTTCCCAGAGTTCATTCCCAGAGTGCATGGAGTTGTCTTAACACTGCACTCAGCTGGGAAGCTATCACATGCACAAAAGCTCTATACTTATTTAAAGCAACTACACTTAAAGCCTTTGATGGGGGAAAATGCTTAAAACAGATGCCTCAAGTACCTTCATCAGAAACACAATGGCAGGGTCATCAGATAGCAGGGATGTCCCTGTTTCATACACAAACTGTATGATAAATTAAATCACAAGTTAGCTATTACAGCTTACTGAGTTGTTTTTAATGTTCACGCAAACACATATTTAATAAGCAAGGTTTGCTACCATGTGCTATATATCAGGAGAACCATCTACTGTGACATTGGCAAACCATTTTCTTATGATTGGTTCAGAAATCTGCATCAGTCCTGTGATGAAATCAAACCTCACTTCTGACCAGCTTCTGTGACAAACAAGTGACAAATCATTCTTTATTTCTCATTAACAGTCAATTAAACCATTGTCACATGTTCTTTGATGTTGCTACATAGATAAAATTCAATAGGAAATTTTTTGGTATGTTATATAAACATAGTCATCATCTGTATGCAGATGCTATTCAGGATTTGAGCCCATTTTTCTTGTTTCCCAACTTGTTTATGTGTGCAGATTATAGGAATTTGTCTGACTTCTCACAATCCTGTATATTTCTACTGAAGATGTTTACCATTGAACTAGAATATATTTTTTTATGATTTTAATAAAACTTGTTTGTATAATGATGAATGCCTCATTTGATAAAAGTAACTTCTAAGCAGTTTTGATGAAAATATTGTTTCCTGATTTTAGTGTTCAGTGCTGCTTGCAATACTATGTTTTTTTGAACAACTTGCTTATAGTTCTGGACTATTATGTAACAGGGGAGGCCAAAGGCCAGTTACACTATTACATCCTAAGGATGATAGCTGTGGACACTGTGGGTTTACAGGTTGAAGTCTGTACTGTCTAAAATGTTTTATGTTAGCTAATTTCAAACAGCTTTCTTAAATAAATGGCAAACCTAGAACTTTAACACAATATGTATGTACTGTATCAATAATGGAAAAGGTAGTGGCTATGGCATTTGAATTTGTGGAGTCTATCCACTGTTCCATATTGGGAACTATGTTTCATATTCGTGAAAAAATATGGCTCAGTAACTGCATAGTGGCCAGAAATAAATTGCAAACATGCACCTATAAATCTTCTAAGCCTCTACACTGACAGATTTGTGTCATTTTTTTCCCCAGAAAGCCAAACGTTTTGGTTATACAGTTTTAACTGAATGTTACCTTAAATGTGTGTGGATAGTTGTGTGCGTGTACACCTGATATCTGTATAATGGAAAGAAAATGTCATTCTGTTGCAGCATGAAAGGAATTGAAAACTGAGTATCATACTGCTCTGTGTCATTGCACCACACTGATTGATGTTTTATGTACTATCAAATGCATTAAATAAAAAGTGTGCCTTTGCCTTAGGATACTTTTGTTGAGTTTTGAAACTTAGTCTGTTGAAATATTGCTGTGGGAGAACATGATGCGCAGGTGGCTTGGCACTGATTTACTGCCAGTTGAGAGATGATGGAGAAATTCGTGTTTGAGAAATCTGTGTCTGGTGTATATGTGGGCTTCTGTTTTTTAAAGCATTGTTTGAGCACTCCAACTTGTATATCTGAATTAGTGCAGTCTACAAACAGCTGCATTGCTGCAAAGTGGTAAGTTGTGTTACATGAGCACACAACCCAACACTTGTGTAATGCCTATTCAGTCCTGTATGATGCACATGAATGTTATTCATTTGTGTGTGCACAAGAGCTGAATGTTTTTAAGATTGGAAAGGGGGCTTGAGCAAAATTGGAGATTGGCTGCATATCTAGCAACCTGTGCTGCTGTTTCTGTATACTTCTGAACAAATGTTTGTGGCAGGATATAAATGAACTAAAAATACATAATTGCAGTTTACAAGGGAGCAAGAAACCAGTCTATAACATAATTACTTCTCATAATCTATGGAAGACTGTTACAGGAAAATGTTCCTTGCCCACCAGTCAGGTACCACTTTGTTTTTGGTGCAAATACAGAATAAAGGCCTAAAAGTGATGGTAGTTACAGACCCCTGCAAGTGAGTGAGAACAGAAAATTAGTCTTTCCATTTTGGAAAACTGCTACACTGTATGTTGACTGTTATTTATTTATTTCATAAATTTTATACACCACTTGATTGTTTAAAATAAACTCAAAGTATAAAACAACAAATTTATCAATAAAAATACCATTAAAATTCTGTAAATCATTCAAAACAAAACAATAAACTAAGAACTAACACATTAATAAACGTACTCTTCAATTGAAACAAAATGTTCAAAGTGGAACAAATGTGCAAAAATTATTTACAGCTGGCAGATGTGTTACCTATTGTTAACCATAATAACCAGTTTTGGTTTTCCCCGTGTTCAGACATACTTAACATTTGGAATAATGATCCTGTGCTTCAGTAATGAGAAATGAGCTGCACTGAGTTCAAGGGGCATTATTTCCAATTAGGAGATGGTTGGACAGTGTTCTCGAAGCTACCAGCATGAGTTTGACCAAACTGTGGGAGGCAGTGGAAGACAGGAGTGCCTGGCATGCTCTGGTCCATGGGGTCACGAAGCGTCGGACACGACTAAACAACAACAAGGATTGTACTCTTAAGTCTTTTTTTCTTTTAAACCAAAGGTCTGGAAACTGTCAAAAGCACGAGGATACCACTTTGCTGGAGCTATGCAAATCAGACAGGCCAGCACCTGGATGCAACACCAATTAAGGAGCACATGTGTTGCCTTGCATTCTATGATGAAGAAAGGCAGGTCAAAAATGCAGGAAAACGAATTGACTATAGATAACTATATATTGTGTAAAATCATTTAAGTGTTAAGATATATATCTATATAACACTTAAATGATTTTACACAATCTATAATAAAGAGTAGATAACTACAAAGTTTTTAAAATGTAAAGAAGCAAAAGAAAACTACATATTAGTTGTGGGGAAGGAAGGTTGAGCCCATGTTCCAAATAGGCCTGCCACGCTATACACTCACTTGTTGTCATGTCAGATGTGGAGATCCGAGCACTAACACAGAAGTTGCCAATACCTCCTATGGTGCCCATGAAGTCTCAGTAAATATCTCCTCAAATTCGCAATGCACTGGCTCTGCCTCTTTTTCACTGAACACCCACCATTTTGCAGCCATGTCTCTTTTCTGCTCTTTTGCCTGTGGCAAGAATTTTGTGCCATCCTACACCACCAGGGCAGTCATTTCTCAAAATTCCAAATATATCTTGCCAGCCTAGAAAGTTGGCAACTTATGCACTAAGGTCAGAGGCAAGCTTATCTCTGCTTTTAGCTCTGTGGTGCTTAGTGCTAACTTTGGGATAAATCTCTGCATGCTCAGACAGTAAACTGTCAAAAAGCAGATCTTTGACCTGTGAGACCTGTGGGTGAAGGCAGGGCTTTTTTCCCCCCAGCTGGAACTCACCGGAATTCCTGGACCTCTGAGGTGGGCACCATTGCCATTCTAAGAAAAAAAGGGAGGCATTCCATGGTGA